AAATGCACCGTCGTCCATTTTCACGACCAAAGCCCTGGACCATAGCTTTTTATCGAGACTCTCGAGCCAGATCGACCCGCGAGGGTGCCGAGGCCCGAATCGGGGCGAAGAGGCCCGGCATGAAAAAATCGCGACGCCCGGACCTCGAGGTTCTGGGCGGCCTCGGGCCGTCGTCGGCCCTAACCCCCATAAGCCAGGGCCGATTTCGATCCGATTCGAAACAGACTCGCGCCGGCCTGGCCTGATAAGATTATGATTCTCGGTCGATCCGATTTGGCCCGACGGCTGCATCGCGCTGTGGCGCAGTCTGGCGACGCCGATCCGAATCGATTCCGACTCCGTCCAGCGCGGCCCGATCTCACGCACGTTCCGATCCGATCCAGTTGCCCGATTCGATGATGGCCCCCCCCGCGTTGGCCCCCCCCCCGCGTAACCCAGACCCCCGACGTCATCATTTTTTCGCGACGTCGACCCCAGGATGCCTCGACCCATTCCCCGGGACCGGCTTCTCATCCTGAGTCGTTCGTTGACGGTCCCAAGGTTCGGCGAGAGCCCCCAGGGGCCGAACATAGCGAAAACCTTCCTGCCATCATGGTTTCATGACCCGACGGGATCCTGTAGGTTCGCGTCGTGTCGACCAGCGGCGACCCCGCCGCCGGCGTTCAGCGTTGAGCGCCAACGGCGGCCCAGAATCCGTCGACGTTGGAGGTTCGGACGGCTTGGAAATGGCCAATCGTTCCAGGTTGAACGGTCCTTGCGGTGTCAGAAATCAACGCCGAAGTCGGCACGGCACGAACTTGCCGTAATCTGAAGTCGGGCATGTCCCTCTACAGGAGGAATAGTCAAGAGTAGTGAAACAACAGTCTGGTGATGACTTTTCGTGCTCTTTGGACTATTTGTGATTCTGTGTTGTTTATGCTTTGATTCATCTTCTCAAAATCCTCCTGTTCCGCCTGTAGGAGGACATGCCCCACCCAACCGCAAGCCAGGCTTGCCGGCAGCGGCCCCCTTCGGGAGTTTCGAGACGGGGGTCAATGCAAACGTGGGTCGGCCAGAGCGCCCGAGCTTGCAGGACCTTGCAGGGCCAGGGTCGCATTGACTTGGGCTTGGGCGCAGGATCCCGCAGGGTCTTGCAGGATCCTCCGCATTGACCCGGGCCTGGGCGCAGCATCTTGCAGGATTGTTGCAGGACTCTGCAAGGCCTGGCTGGCCCAGGTCTGGATTGACCCGGGCCAGAAAATTCTCGACCCGTCCAACGGGGAGGGGGGGGGGGGGGGGGGGGGCGCCGCGAGAGGCCGCCATGGGCAGTGCGCAGGAGCTGCGCGAGGGCCAGCAGCGGGCCGAGCGGGTCCTCGAGCGGGAGAGCGCGGCGCTGCGGGAGGACGGCGGGGCTCCCCGGGGCTCCCCGGGGCCGGGCGCCCCTCCTCTTCCTCCTCCTCCTCCTCCTCCTCCTCCTCCTCCTCCTCCTCCCTCCTCCTCCTCCTCCTCCTCCTCCTCCTCCTCCTCCTCCTCCTCCTCCTCCTCTCCTCCTCCTCCTCCTCCTCCTCCTCCTCCTCCTCCTCCACCCCCCCCCCACCCCCGAGAGGAAGAGCCCACGCTGGGAGAAAAGCACGCCCACCAAAGCACCCCAGCTTCTTGAGAGGCCCTCTGGGCCGCGATGACTGGGGGAGCGGCAAAATGAGGGGGGGGGAGTCCGCGAGGGCTGCCCAAAAAGGGCCCCTGACAGGGAGCCCTTTCGGGCCCAGAAGGGGCCCTTTTGACGAGCCTTTTTCGGGCCCTTCAAGGGGGCCCTTCGAGCCCTCAACGAAGGCCCTTTCGGGCCCAGAAAGGCGGCCTGTGGGGCCCGAAGAGGAGTGACCCTTCGCTGGAGTGACCTCTGGCGCGGGCTCATCGGAGTCCCCCCGATCGTTGAGCGCGATGCAGTAGCGGCTGAGTGCACGCTTGGATTTGGCCACCTTGCGCCCCCTAAGTCCGCGCACCAAAGACCACTTTTGCCTAGGGTCACTCCTGCGCGTAGCCGATAAAATGGTGGAGCGAGCGATGAATGGGGGGGTCAGCGAGGGCTGCAGAAAAGAGCTTTTTTGAGGGCCCTCAGAGGGGCCCGTTCGGGCCCACAAGGGGCCCTTTAGGAATTTTCCAGAGGCCACTATAGGGCCCTTAAAAGAAGCCCGTTCGGGCCCAGAAGTTGGGTCCAGAAAAGGGCGTTTGAAGGGCCCGAGAAGTGCACCTTAGACCCCCCCTTCATCGCCCCACATCATGGCTCGCGCCCAACACCCGCGAAAAAAGCCCACAAAAGGAAAAAGGCCCACAGAAGCACCCCTGCTTCTTAGAAGGCGCGGGCCTCGTCTGCAAGCGTAAGGCTGGCGCCTTCCAAGAAGCAGCCTCCTAGCATGTAAAGTTTTTCGTCGGGAAACGAACCCTTCCGAGCTCTTCATCTTCCGCCGGGGAACGAACCCTTCTGTCGAGAAGTGGACCCTTCTGCCAGGGAAGGAACCTATCGCCCCCCCACCCCCCCTCTTTTCGGCTGCGCGTGGGGCGTTTCAGAAAAGGGCATTGCCGTCGAGGATAGAAGGAGCTGTCATCTCTTTCTCGGCGGAAGGTCGGCGCGAGTCAAACGAGGCCGCCTCCGCCGGCGGAACCCGGCGGAGGGCAGGCGGAAGGCGGCGGAAGTAATTACAAAAAAAACGCCCCCAAGAGATGAAAACGTGTTTTGAGCGCAGGGTTCCCAGACCCCCGACGTCATGATTTGTTCATAACGTCGATCCCCAAAGGTCTCGACCCATTCCCTGGGACCGATTTTTCATCCTGAGTCGCTTTTTGACGGTCCCGATGCCCGGTAAGGGCCCCGAGAGTCTGGAAATTAGAGAAAACCTTCCCGTCATGATTTTTGTCATGACTCGAGGGGGTCTGGGTTTCTGAATTCTGCGACGTAGGAGTGACCATTCGCTGGAGTGACCTTCGGTGCGCGGCTTCTCTGGGTGGCGCGGGGGGCCCAACCCAGCCTCGCAGGCCGCCCGCCACTGTCGCATCGCGCGGAGCGATCGCCGAGCCGCGCACCAGCGGCCACGCTTGCCTAGGGTCACTCTTGCGTGTAGCCGACGTTTCGAGGGGAGTAACACGGGGGCCATGACTTGGAGCCGGCTGGAGGTCGGAGGTGGCCCAGCACCGTCGGGAAAGCGTGAGACTCCAATATGACGGAACTCGGTTTGGACGACGTTTTTTTGATGAGCGCGTCCTGGATTTTGACGGTCCAGTTTTCGTGCGATAGTTGCAGCAGGATCGCGCGTCAAATTTCAGAGTGGGTCTCGTCATTTCCATGATGGCCCCGTCAGGCCAACCCGAGTCCCGCGAACCCGAGTCTTACCTCCCCGACACTGGTTCCAGCGAGCAGGAAGTGGGGGAAGAGATTCGAGGTGCTGGCCTCGATCAGGTCTTTTACTTTTTTTGGACTCCAGAGGTCGCTTTCGAGCCCCAGGACCGTCGAAACTGGATCCAGTGTGAAAAATTGCACCAGACAGATCCCGGGAGGGTTCCAGGGATTGATTTTGAGCGGATTTGACCCCTTGTCCAGGGAGGTAACACGGGGACCATGACCAAGATTCGAGGCCTCCCAGATGGGGCCGGAGTAGATGGGGTCAGAGGATCGCGCCGCATCGCCGATTCATCGGCGATGCAGCTCGATGTGGAGAGCGCGATGTTCTCCGCGCTGGCCTCGCCGATGCGCACCGCCGACGTCGCCGATGCAAGCCTCTGGCCGCATCTATTCGGACCCCGTCTGGGAGGCCTCTGAAGATGTCGCGGGATCTTGTCGATACGGACCCTGGTCATGCTCCGGGTCGGCCGTCGCCACGGCGCGAGGATGATCCACGGCGCTGACCAAAATCGGCAGAGACCCAGAGTGACGCGACGTCGTGGGCGGAAGGGCGAGGGGAGAGGAGCTCCGCTCTGCCATCGGCGGGCTGAGCCAGCAGCTCCAGGGCGCGCTGGAGGAGGCGACGGGGGCTGGGTCGGGGTGCGACCCGGTGCCCCCTCTCTCCGCTCCCCTTTGCTCTCCCCCCCGCCCCTCGCTGCCACTTGAGCCCACCTTCCCCACTCCCCCCATCCATGGTCACTCGTTCGAGGCATGCGCTCGAAATGCCCTGGCCGCCCGGGCCGCCTCCCACCCCCAACCGAGTCACTGTTCCTCGCTGTCGCCCCCTCTCATTTCCCCTCCTCTGCCTTCCCGTCGTCGTCCAAAGCTTTCCACCAACATGATATTCAAAGCTTCTCCTCGAGGGCCTCAGGATTATCCCTGGTTCGCGTCGTCCACGGTTCACGATCGGGGCTCAGAGCAAAATATTCGAACTGATGTTTGGGCTAAGTCGGCATGGGTATGGGCGGGTTGGCAGCAGGCTGACTTTTACACTCGCAGCATTGATTTGTAGTTGCCCTGGTCACGCGCTGCACACCGCACGCGCGCGGGAATACCGCAGCCTTGTCAGCCTGGGAGAAGACCCTGCATCCGAAGCTTGCCGCTGTCTGAGACAAGTGGTTTATACCGGAATCGCACCAAGAGTCATGAGCAGGACGAAAAGGAAAGTGGGCCGTTCGGTTGCGAAAGCGGGTGCGGCACGAGAGCTCGGAACCCGCCCGTCTCGACTCGGGCCTGAGAGGGTGCGTCCCAAGAATGTGCCCACGTCCGTTCGGACCAAGCAGAGCTGACTGGCTACGCGATAACCGATGATCGGCACGCCCCCATCGGCTCAACTTGTGAGGCCGTCTAGTCGCATGCCCCCCAGCCTCGCCGTTCTCTCCCCGCACCGCCTTCCCCTGCCCCACCTCCATTTGCTGACCAGCGCTTCCCCGCCCCTCATGGAAAGTTGGCGGCAAAGATCAACCCAACCAAGCGAGCAACAAAAGGCTCACGGCGAGGTCTCTGTCGGCACGGCTCAGTGCGATCGCAGGAGCGACATCAGGCGCCGGACGACGAAAATGTTGCTCCCTTGCGGCATTCGTTGGCCTGGCTGGTGCCGTGCTGCTCGTGGGCTCGATTGCTGCTATGTGCGCGAACGCCAATGGTGCAGCCCCATATGGGAAACGTTCCAGAGTCATTCGGCGAGGCTGGGTCGAACACCCCCTGGCCATCAACTTGGTTCCAGCCGCCAACCAGGGCGGGGCCATCTTTGCACATACGATCGCAGGCAAATCCTCCGATGTTTGCGGCCGGAAAATTGTAGTCGAGATATGCATCATGGGCGGAGATCTTTCTTACATAATAATATACACGTGAGGCATGTGTTCTTGTTGGATGCAAGTTTTGCGAACGGGCTGGTTGAGGGCAGCAGGGGCGTCAGATCCGCCTTCTGCAGGACATCCATGATCCAATCGAGTTCCGCAAGATCATGCTGGCAGTGATGAACGCTTTCTTGTGTGTGGCCAAGGGTGGTTCGGTGATCGGCATCGCGTGGATGGCCATCTGCTCGGGAGGCATATTCCGTGTCGTAGTTGCTGGCATAGTGTTGCCCAGCATGATGGTGATCATGGTGCACCAACGGATCCCTGAGCCACCACGACAGGCGATAGTAGCCGATGTTGATGCTAAGTCGGTTGCGTCGAAACCACCACCCGTGTCATCGAAAGTATCTTGGTGCTTGTGATCATGACCATTGCAGGTGGTGTCGACAGCTTCGGTGACAATGGAAACAGGTTCGCTCGGAACACCATCTTGACCAATCGGAACGAGTTGGCCCGTAAGCCAGTGTTCAATGTCGTGCTGATGGTGTCTAACATCGTGTCTGCGAAAGTGGGCATGGAGTTGATCACTCGGTCGATTGGCAGGCTTGGGGACACTTTGGTCACATTGGATTCAGGACAATATTTGGCAATTTCTTTTCAGCGGACGTGCAGCCCAGGTTAGCGGTGATTGTCGGATTCGACGACGTGAGGGCAGCATTTAGCGCGTTCGTGCTTGTCTGGCTTATCAGACAGATCCATAGCATCTGTTCAACACTCGTTGTTATGTTCCTCTACCCCGCGCTAATCCCAGCTCATCCACGTGGGCTAATCAATGGCATAAAGAATGTTGTCTCCTTTTCTGTCAACTGCGCTGCACCCCTCACGATTTGAGGCCGTCACGCGTGACGCTTCGTGTCCCCGGCTTGGGAGAGCCTTGATGAGGAGGAGTAGGAGGACGAGGAGCAGGAGGAGCAAGAGGAGGAGGAGGAGGAATAGGGGAACAAAAAGTGGCATAAACATAAAAACTCTGAGGTCCGCGCGGATTTCTCGGATCGGCGCTGGACCCCCCTCCCTGGCGCGCGGAGCGCGCCAGAGGCGGCGCCGGAGGCGCCGCCGGGGAGCCCCAGCGCAGATCCGAGAAATCCGCGCAGACCTCCGAGTTTTTAGGTTTATGTTATTTCTTTGTTCCCCTAAAAGAAGAAGGCTGTCTCATGTGACACCTTTCGTACTCACTTCTTTAGAAGCTCCAATGGAGCTCATTTGGGCCGCCTTGGGGGGGCTGTCTTGGCTTCCGGTTGGGCCCATGGGGCCGTGTTAAGGGTCGTCTTGGGCCGTCTTCTTGGGGCCCTCTTAGGCGGTCTTGGGGCTCTCTTGGGCCGTCTTCTTGAGACCCTGCGGTGCCGAGCTGGACGCTCCGCGATACCCCAGAGCAACCATTCTTTGAATGGCAGTAGCCTCCCGATGATGTTCCCGAAGCGTACGGGAGGGGCTGCCCTTTTTCAGTGGGTGGTTGTGCTCCTCCTTCGGCTGCCATGGGGTCGGGGGGAGCAGCGGGCGGAAGTGTACCCGAGGTCCTGCGAGAGTTGTCCCTGTCGGGGCCTCTCTGTGGGGAGGGATCCTGGGTGACGGTGATGGGGATAGAGTGGAAGGAACCTGTCGGGGTCCATTTCGATCCGATCGATCCGGTTCGATATCGATTCCAGCCAGCCCGATCGGATTTGATTCTGAAATGCCGACGATCCGATGCAGCCCGATGCTTGCACGGCGTTGTTGTGCATCTTGGCGCGGCCGATCCGATCCGATTTCGATTCCGTGCCGATGCAGCCCGATCCAGGAGGCTAGGGATGTCAGGCGTGGTGGGGGGGGTCCTTGGGCGGATTTTGCAGCGTGGAGGGTCTTGGAGAAACGATGCACAGGGATCCAGGAGGGTGGGGATGTCAGGCGTGGTGCGAGGGTTCCCGGGGCGGATTTTGCAGGGTGGGGGGTCCTTAAGAAACGATGCGCAGGGGTCCAGGAGGCTAGGAATATCAGGCGTGGTTGGGGGGGGCACCTGGGCCGATTTTGCAGCGTGGGAGGGCCTTAAGAAACGATGCGCAGGGGTCCAGGAGGCTGGGGATGTCAGGCGTGGTGCGGGCGTGGTAGGCCACGTCGGTCGCGCCAGACTAGCTGGCCGCTCTGCGCGCCAGCATGCGCGCGCTGGCGCGGCCGTAGTGGTCCGCCAACCAGTGCCTAGCATTCATCGCAATCGCCGCCGCATGGGTTTCGCAAACCAAGTTACGGCTGGGTGGGTGGAATGGTTGCGCGAGCAGTGGAGTTGACAGCTTCAAGTTCGGCAAGTTGAATTGCACCGCACCACATAGATTGCAACACATAGATTGCTCCACATGGACAGCACCACACAGACTGCACCACATCGGTTGTTCCACGTAGGTTACACAACATCATATGTTGCTAGAAACACATTGCTTGCGACGCCCAGGGCCTGGGAATCCTCCCTTCGGGCCCCGGGGAGCCCAGCCGTGGGTTTGCCCGACAACGTCTGAAGCGGCAACGAAGACGACGACGGCGGCAACGACGGCTGCGACGGCGACAGCGACGGCGGCGGCGGCGGCGGCAGCCACAACGGCGACGACGGCGAAGACAGCGACGACGGCGACGACGGCGACGACGACGGCGACGGCGACGGCGATGGCAACGACGACGACGACGACAACGACGGCGACGACAACGACGGTGACGGAAAGGGCGACGGCGACGGCGACGACGACGGCGACGACGACGGGGACGGCGAGGGCGATGGCGACGGCGACGGCGACGGCGACGGCGACGGCGACGGCGACGGCGACGGCGATGGCGACGGCGACGGCGACGGCGACGGCGGCGACGGCGGCGGCGGCGGCGGCCGAGAGCCGAGCGCCTGGAGGTGAGGCGCGTGGACGCGCGGGCGATGGGGGCCGCACGCGGGGTCGACGAGACCAGGGCCTCCTTGGCCGAGCTGCGCGAGGGCCACCTGAAGCAGGAGGGGGACAGGGCGGAGGAGGAGGAGGAGGAGGAGGAGGAGGACGAGGACGAGGGCCACCTGAAGCAGGAGGGGGACAGGGCGGAGGAGGAGGAGGAGGAGGAGGAGGAGGAGGAGGAGGAGAGGAGGAGGAGGAGGAGGAGGAGGAGGAGGAGGAGGGAGGAGGAAGGAGGAGGAGGAGGAGGAGGAGGAGGAGGAGGGAGGAGGAGGGAGGAGGAGGAGGAGGAGGAGGAGGACGACGACGACGACGACGACGCGGGAGGGAGAGCGAGGGAGATGCGTACCACCTCGGACGAGGTTCGTCCAGGCCCCGAGCCTAGAAGCGACCCTTGCAGACCTGCCCCACGAGGCGGGCGGGGCCGCTCACGAGACAGGGGCTGGAATGACCACCCCGCCTGGCGTGGGGGCCCCGGCTGAAAAACAAACCGGGTGTGCGGTGATCAGGACGCTCATCATCATCATCATCATCATCATCATCATCATCATCATCATCATCATCATCATCATCATCATCATCATCACCATCACCATCACCATCACCATCACCATCACCATCATCAGTATGCGACGATCAGGACGCTCAAGGGCCGTCTGCGCACCCACGGCAGTAGCGCTGCCTATACACCGGTTGTGGCAGGCGCAGTGCGGAGTATGGGAAAAAGTGAGCGGCTCCGCCTCGGAGCATCCTTCTCAGCGGCCCAGAGAGAACAGGTGAAGGAGCAGGTGCCAAGTGCTCGCGAGACCCAGAAAAGAGGATGGGTGCTAACACTGGCGTTGCGCACGTTAAGCGTCGATGAAGGCTTGGAGGTCGCCATGGATGCCCCCAGGGCTACTGCGGGCCGAGAAGGCATGTTGCAGGCCGCTCCGGGCATCTCGCGCTCGTTGGAATATGTCCAGCAGCGGGGCCGAGCGTTGCTGAATCTGGTCTAGGGAAGACGCAAGCTGGTTGGCTCGCTGATGGTGTTCGTGAATACTGGCGACGGGGGTGGTTTTGCGATCCCATGGGTGCTGACTGCTCGCAGCTGCGAGATGATGTGCGAAGGCGTACCTGCTGTCCATACGTTGGATGGTACCTTTGGTGTGGCGTCCGTCGTCCCTAGCATCACGCACGCCCCATTCGGAGCCCTGGTGGGCCGAGAGGGGGGGAGTTGAGGAGGGAGGTCGGGGGACTTAGTGGGCTCTGGCGCTCTTGGGCGGTAGTCGATGGACCAAAAGGAATGCTAGACGCTTCACGTATCCCCACCAGCCCATCCAGAAACGATATCCAGGCGAGTTGAGATGATCAGGGAAGTGCGGGAGCAAAGAGGGGGATTGCCGAACCGTGCGAAGGAGGGAGGAGGAGAAGGAAGAGGCTGGATGGATGGATAAGGGAGTGGGGGGAAGGAGGATGAATATGATAAGGAGGAGGAGAAGGAGGAGGAGGATGAGGAAGAGAAGGAGTAGGAGGAGGAAGGAGGAGCAGGAGGAGTTGTGCAAGCAAAATGGCCAGAGGTCTCTTGGATGCCTCTAGGAGCTTCTTGGGATATCTCTTAGGCGCTTCTTGGTGGCCTCTTGGGACGTCTTGAGGGTCTCTTGGCGGTCCTGGGGGGGGCTCTTGGGCGTCTTGGGTGCCTCGGGGGGGCCTCTTGGGGCCGCTTGGAGTCCTGTTGGGGGCCTCCTGGGGTCCTCTTGGGGGCCTCGTGGGGCCATCTTGGGGCCATCTTGGGGCCTCTTGGGGCCTCCTGGGCGCTTCCTGGAGGACATCGATGAAAGAAGGGGGGTCCCTTAATTAGCGTCGTCCCTCGGGAGCCCCCCAAGTCGCCTTTTTGAGCTTTCTTGGAGCGCTCTTGGGGCCGTCTTGGGGCTCCCTTGGGCCCCTCTTAGGGCTCTATTGGGCCATCTTGCAGCTATCTTAAGGCCTCGAATGGCCATCGGAAGCGAAAAGGCGAGAAAGCAGAAAGCATTGATTTTCCCAAGGTTGTTAAAGGAGTTTGGCCTCTTGGGGGCATCCTTGGGGAGCTCTTTTGGCATCTTAGAGCCGTCATGGAGCAGTCTCGGGGCGTCTTGGAGCATCTTGGGAGCCATCTCGAGGCATCTTGCGCTATCTTGAGCCATCTTGGAGTTCATCTTGGGTTCTCTGACGCCCTCTTGGGGCCATCTTGGGCCATCTTGGACGCCCTGACCGCTCGCGGGGCGCCCCGTCCAGGTCCAAGGGAGGGGGAAGGGGGAGGGGTAAACCCCTCCCCGAAAGGGAAGAAGGGAGGTGGAAGAGGAAAAGCTCCAGACCACCAACGCCCAGAGGGCTGTTGGGACTATGGTTGCGCGACGATGCGGACTTCGATTGCATTGTCCTCGCCTACAAAAAAATGTGGACCGTCGTCCTTTAGCGATGACCCGAACCCGACAGGGTCGAGGTCCTCCCCTTCGAAGTCGCCCAGTGGTGGCGACCATGAAACGTCTAGTTCGTCGAAGTGGCGCGGGCCTGGTGGACCGCCCGGCGGAGGTGGTCCTCCTGGGGCGCCAGTGTCGTACCCCCCTTGGCCAATGGCGAGCGGTTTCGCCATGATTTTCGAGAGTTCGGACTCGGAGTGCCCGGCTCTTTTGTGAGGCAATGGGGGCGTCCGATGTCGCCGGTTGTATATGGTGACGGCCTGGCCATGGACATCGGCAAATTTGCGTCGCCGTCTGGCAGCGTCGACCTGGCTTTGTGGTGCACTATGGAACCGTGTCCCCGCGGTGGCGAGTTCGTCTGCGCGAAGTTGAAGGCTTCAGCTATAGGAGTAATGCGCCCTTCATTGCTGCCTTGCTCCCCCAGGTGACTTTCTCCCTTCTGGATTTTGAACAAGTCAGGTTTGGCCACAAGCACCCTGAGGATTTTCTGCCACAGGTCCGTTTGGGGACCTTCACAGGGCGGTGGTTTGCCACTGCAGAAGCCTTCAAATCCGTCAACGACCGCCTGACTGTCGACCGGTCTTCCGGCCGTGGCGACAAGATGGAGCATGGCAAGTGTTTCGGCCCGCTGCGCACATTGCGCCAGACCGTGCACACGGGCTGAAAGGTTAGGCCGGTGGTTTGGTCCGTAGTACACATCAAAAGCCCGCTCTGGTCGGGAAGGGCTGAGCTTGGTGCGAGCAGACACCGCCCGTAGTAGCAAAGACCCATCGGGCCGATCGGGTGCCCTGGTCATCGTAGACAGGGAAAGAGAGAGAGAGAGAGAGAGAGAGAACGAGGGAGAGAGGGCGAGGGGGAGAGGGCGGCGGAGACGGAGAGAGAGCGAGAGGGATGGAGGCAGGAAGAGGAGGAAGGGAAGGGAATGGAGTGGAATGGAATGGAGCAGCACGAGGAGGACTGGGATGGAGGAGGACGGCGGCAAGGACGACGAAGAATGAGGGAGGGGGAGGAGGGCCACGAGGCGGAGTAGGAGAAGGAGGAGGCGGGGCAGGAGGAGTTCCCTGCAGGTCTGTTGTGCAATAGCTCTTGCTGCATGGCACACCTCTTGAAGTCCTGAAGGTCTTGAAGGAAGACGAGGGGAAAGAGAGGACGGGAGGGGACAAGTGCAGGACGACACGCGGCGAGCGGGCGCCTCCCCCGTCAATAGGATCGGCTCCTCTCGCAGGCGGCGCTGGGCCTCGAGGGGCTCCAGGCCAAGACCCTGCCCCGCCTGGCCTCGCTGGAGGCCTCCCTGGACAAGGCGCGCCGCCCCCACCCACCCCCGCCCCCCTTAGAGGAGGAAAAGGTACCCATACCTCTACCCTTCCCTCGTTTTCCTTTTTGGGGGTGGCCTCCTGGGCATTCCTCGTCGCTACCGCTGGATTCGCTTCGAATTCCTGGTCAGAACGCACCCTGGGAGAGGTCCGGGGAGTAGCGGTATCGGTACCTTTTGGTTTCCTCACCCCCGCCCCCGCCGCCCGCCGCTCACGAGGCTTCCAAAAGTCTTATTCAGATGACTTGACACAGCAGGAACAGTGGCAATTCTGTCCGCAGCGTCGGCTCGAGAAAGCTTCGCAGGCGCGTCTGGAGCCCGGTTCGCAGACCCCGTGGCTGGGCCGACCGCCTTTCTGTCAGGCTGCGCCGAGACGCGCAGCAGCACAGCACCAGAAGCCATGATCACCACCACCAGCATCATATTGTCATCTGCATCAACTTCTTCTTCTGCAGCATTATCAGCAGCATCATCATCCTCACCAACAGCAGCATCATAATCGTCGCCGTCGGTGGCGTCATCGTCGTCGTCGCGCTCTCTCGTCATCATCATCACCACCATCACCATCATCATGATATTCATCGTCTTCTTCATCGTCGCCATCAGCGGCAGCAGCAGCATCATCATCGCCATCATCATCAGCATCATCATCACGATCACCAGCATCGTCAGCAGCATCAGCATCGCCATCATCCTTAGTATCATCGTCATAATCGTCATCATCACCATCGCCATCATCACCCTCACCATCATCATAACATCATCATCCCTATCACCGTCAACATCACCACAATCATCACCATTAACCTCATCAACATCAGCTCTTCATCATCATCATCATCATCATCATCACCATCACCATCACTATCACCATCACCATTAACCTCATCATCATCATCATCATCATCAGCATCATCATCATCATCATCAGCATCATCATCATCATCATCATCATCATCATCATCATCATCATCATCATCATCATCGCCACATCCTCCCGGAAGCCATGGATCCGAGGGGGAGGGAGGACCCAGGATCGACGAGGCTTGAAGCGCCTTCTGGACGCCCCTGGGAGCCCTGGGGATGCCTGGGGGGCTCCAGGAGGGAGGAGGAGGAGGAGGAGGACGAGGACGAGGACGAGGACGAGGACGAGGACGAGGACGAGGACGAGGAGGAGGAGGAGGAGGAGGAGGAGGAGGAGGACTCTCGAGAGGCTGGCCGCCCCTTGTGGCCCTGCCTGGGTTTTGTGGTGCGGCGCTGGTGCCGGCCGGGGCGCCGTCGGGCCGAGGTATAGACCTTAGGCGATGCTTGAGAAAACTTCGGTTTTCGGCCAGGGTCTCGATTAGTCTTAACGTTTCGATGTAAGTCCTAGGATTTTGAAGGAAGTCTTGGGGTTTCATTCGAGTTCTGAGACTATGAATGTCTTAACCCATGATTTCTTAAGCATTTCGCAGGGTGCAAGATCGAGGGCGCTCCGGGGAGGGTTCGGCCACGCGCAGAGGGGGATTGGCGGGAGGGGGGAGGGCTTCTTGGAAGCACCCCTGGGGCCTTATCTGTAGATGTCAGGGCGGCGCCCTCTGAGAAGCAGGCTCCTTCTAAGAAGCCCTCCCCCCTTCCCTCCGCCCCCCAGCGCGCGCCGCCAAAGGGTGCCCTGGTGCTCTTCGTGCCTGCTGGATGCTCGTTGTGCATCTCGGGGAGGGTGCCCCTGGACGTCTTGGCCGACGGAGGGTCCCACGTTCTCGAGGGATGCCGTCCTCGCCTTGGTCCGAGTGTGCGGCGGGCTCTCGCCGTGCCGGCGCGGCGGCGACCCTGGCGCGGGCGCTCGGGGCCGAGCACCGCCGGCGGCCAGGAGCCGGCCGGCCGTCGCGTCATCTGCGGTGTTTTGTTGGAGCGCAAAAAAAAAAAAAAGTGCTGCCGCCGTTCCTCTGCCGAGGTCGGGCGGGGCCTGCCATCTGCTGCACGAGGGTGCCTGCGCGCAGGGCTGCCGGGGCTGATGCGGAGATTGCGCGGTTGACCTCCAGGAAGCGGTTGAGGCCTCGTGATGCGACGCGGTGAGCGGCCCTCCTGCCACTGGAGGGTTGTGCTGGTGACGATGGCAGCACAGATCCCTGTGAGGCGTCGCGGCCACGCTCGCGGCGGCGCGGCGTAGAAAGGGTCGATTTGAATACACCCCCACACACACACACACACACGCAGACACACACACACACACACAGACACACACACACACACACACACACACACACACACACACACACACACACACGCGCGCGCGCAGAAACACACACACACACACACACATACGCGCGCACTTCCAAGTCGGCGGCACAGAGGAACCTCAGGCGCGGGCAACAGATGAAAGCGTTAATTTAAGACGGACTTGGCCGACAGAACGGCAGCACGAGGGGTCGCACGCTGTACAATGTAAAACATTGGTAGTGTAGCGATGGGACTGTAACCCAAAGTCGTGCAGCGGCCAGAACCCGAGGAGTACGCAAAACGAACTCGACTCAAGGCGTACTGAAGCGCGAGCAGTCTTGTGCACATTGGGATCAAGCATCACAGACCAATGATGATCCAAAAAGTGTGCAGCGGCAAGAACCCGAGGAGCGCGACACACACACACACACACACCTTCTGATGAATCCGGCACTCGGGCCATAACTACTCCGCAGCAGGGGCAGGTGTGGAGTACGTGCGCTCGGAATACATTTTCACAGGTTCTTCGTCTTGTTGGCCCCTAAAAGCTGCAGCCACTGCCCGACAGCCTGCGACCACACCGCGTCATTGGCGGACACCCTGCGCTAGAAGCAGCAGCGGGCACTACTGATGCGACCACATCCATTGAGAGATAGACGATGAGAGTCGCCCAGCCCCCTGGGTTCCTCCCCTTGCCGGCCCCAGTAGCCCTCCCCGACCACCTTGGGCGGATGGCAAAGGGGGGGGAAGGGGCAGCTGATGGGGTCGTCGCAAGACGCATTTTGTTCATCACCTTTCGTACCCCGGGTGGATGCTCAGGCCCACTGAGGCCAATCGCGCGCTCCGATTGCCACCTCCTGCCCCCAACTGACCAGGCGCAACGACAGCGGGCGATAGGCTCAGGGGGGAACGCATCAACCCCCAGTCGCTCATTCATCGCCGACAGGGGCCCCATGGCCCCATGGCCCACCCCTCCCAGAAACCTGTGGATTCGCCATCGGGAGCCCATCGCTGATCTATCGGCGACGTGGCGCCGATTCGGGGTCGGCGCTTCCCTCCCTGAGCCAGACCCCCCCCCTTCGCTGCCCCCCGCTGACTCCCACCCGGCCGCCCGCGACCACGCCGCGCCGCTGGCCGCACCCGCGCTTGGAGAGCGCAGCGGGCACAGCCCGAGGCGACCGCCTCCGTCGAGGGCCAGGTGGCGGGCGCCGTGCAGCGCGCCAGCGACGCCCTCACGGAGGCCCCCGCTGGCATTCCCGCCGGGGCCGCCGCCGCCGGAGTCTGGCATGTTGGGGCGCGGCGAGGAGGCGGGTGGGCATGCCCGGGCGAGTCGACTCCAGGCGAGACATGGCACGAGGCGGGGATGCGGGGTCGACTCCAAGCATGGAGCTGCAGGGTGGCGGCCCACAGGACACACAGAGGTCGAGGTGGGTGCGGATGCGGGTGAGGATGCGGGGGCGAAGTGGGGCTCAGCGTCGGTTCCGGGCGCGAGAAATTGTAGCGTGGGTGGGCCCGAGAACACAGATCGCAGAGGTTCTGGGCCAGCGACTGCAGGGTGTGGGGGGGCCTAGAACTTCGGTCCCAGATTGCGAGGTAGGGGTCAGGGTCGGTTCAGGGCGAGAGGTTGCAGGGTGGGTGGTTTCCCGAGCCCAGGTCGCAGGGGGTGAGGATGCGGATGAGGATGTTGGGGCGAGGTGAGGGTCAGGGTCGACTCGTGGCGAGAAGTTGCAGGTTGGGGGGTCCCGAAAGCGGAGGTCCCAGAGGGTGAGGATGCGGGTGCGGGTGAGGATGCCATGGCGAGTTGGGGCTCAGGGTAGACTCCGGGCGAGAAGGGGCACATCCGCCACAGGGGTGGGGTCGCTGGAGCGAGGTGGGGGACAGGGTTGGTTCCGGGAGGGAACTTGCGGGATGCGGGATGCCAAGAGCACAAGTCGCAGAGGGCGAGGATGCCGGGGCAAGGTGGTGGTCAGAGTCGACTTTGGGCGGGGGGGTGCGGGGCGGGGGCGCCCTAGAACACAGGTCCCGGAGGGTGGGGATGCTGGGGCGAGGTGGGGTCCAGGATTGGTCCCAGGCGAGAAATTGCAGCGTGGGGCGTTCCAAGAAACAGAGGTCTCCGAGTGGTGGGGGCGCCAGGGCGCGGTGGGAGTCAGGGCGGGGGTCGGGGTCGGTCATGTTCGATCATCTCCTCTGACTTGCGGAGAAGAGCGAGGAGGCGGCGGCCACGTACTGCGAACAAGGGTGAAAGGGCGGCGGCGGATGTGCCGGGAACATGTCGCGCAATCGAATACTACCCCCATGTATTGGCCCCATGTGTCGACCCCACGTGCTGCCCACAAGCATTTCCCCGAAAAATTGCCCCCATGTATTGCCGTTGACCCCACGTGCTGCCCTCAAGTACTTCCCCGAAAAGCTACCCCCATGTACTGCCCACCCCAGGCATCGCCCCACGCGTTGCCCCCAAGTATCGCCCCCACAGACCAGCCCTCTATCCGGCCAGGTGCGCGCTTGGAAGAAGTAAGACCGTCCAGGTCCCCTCACTGGCGGATCAGAAGAAGGGGGCCGCAGCGGGTGTGCCGCCACCATGTCGTGCCCTAGAATATGACCCCCAAGGATTTCCCCCATGTAGAGAACCCATGCACGGCCCCCAAGTAGGGCCCCAAAGTGCTCCCACGTGCTTTCCCCATGTATTGCTCCCAGAAGCCGAGCCCTCCATCCAGCCACGCGCGCTTGGCAGAAGTAAGACCGCTCGGGCCCCATGTTCGGACGGTGACTACTTCCAGGTGTCTTTCCGCGGGGGCATGTTGGAGCCTCTTTGGATTTACAGGCCCACAGGGGTCAGCTCGGAGGTAATCGTGGTCTGCCTTTGGGTGATCTCGGGAGGTATGGCGACCACCTAGAGTAATCCTGAGGACCTCTGAACCTGGCGAGCAACGTGGGTCGCCTCTGAGAGGCCGATGAGCGGGGGGAGAATCGCGCGGGGGGCGGACAAGAATAGGTTGTTGGGTCGGGTTCGAAAGAGACATGCGAGCGTTTCACCCTGGACCCGTTGGGAGAGCACGGGGCTCGAACGCTACGGGGCAGGATGGAATTCGTACGCGGCCCGAAAAAGGGGGAACGGAGGCAGACATGCTGACGGAGGAGAGTCGAGGCCCAGGCATGCTGGAAGACTGCGAGAATTGCAGCGATCACGAGGCAGACCAGTCTTGGATCAAGAGCGAACCTTCTATATATTAGTTATGGCCATGCAGTTGGCATTATTGCCCGGGGCTGAGGGGCAGTAGGTCGTCATTTGTCCATTGGACCGGCGCCCGTGGGTCACGACGTGTTCATCCAGTCACCCGCAGCTACCAGCACATTCAGAGCGGGGTGGGCATGACCACTACGTTTGCATGGTTGCAGTGGCATCGCTCGGACGTGTGCCTTTTTTCCCGGCGAGGACCATCGAGGAGGATACTGGATCAGATTGCTGGAAAAACAGCGGAAATTTGCAATACACATACACAGAACAACAACAACAACAACAACAACAACAACAACAACAACAACAACAACAACAACAACAACAACAACAACAACAACAACAACAACAGCGACAGCGACAGCGACAACGACAACGACAACGACAACGACAACAATAATCGCCATCAGGTTAAGACTTTTCGCTCTGATGCGCTCGCGTGCCATTTAACACGTATATCCCAAACCCTCGATACCCGCCCTTTTGTCTTCGATCGTACACACTTGGGGATTGTATATATATATATGTATATACATAGGAGTGTGTAAATTATAATGTCTATAAAAAAATATATTACATGCAACGTGTATTTCGTGCAGCCCCTGAGGCAGGGGAAAAGAGAACGGATGGAAGGAAGGGACAAGGAGTATGGAGGAGGATGGAGCACGAGAGAGAGAGAGAGAGTAGCAGGAGGGGGGCTAGAAGTAGGAAACACGTGGCAGAAACAGACGGGCAGATCGGGAAGGCGGGCCCAGGCAGCCAGGTCGAGCAGGCGGGTTGCTGAAACGTGCGTCCTGCATGAATCGCGAGGAAGTCTTGAGCGATAGCGCGATTCCCAAATAAATCGTGAGGAAATCTACAGCGAGAGCATGATTCCTGAGTGCTTGAGGGCGCGGCGTCTGATGCATTGCGAGGAAGTCCCACGCGAGAGAACGATTCCTGCATCAATTGTATGGAAGTCCCGCGCGAGAGCGCAATTTGGGAATAAATGGTGACGAAGTATCAGGCGGGACCTGTTGTTATTATTGTTGTATACCGGGGGGGCAACAACGCAAGTTTGAGACCCAAGATTTTCCTTGATAAGAAACTGTGTGCGAGCCCCGGGATGGGCACTTCATTTGCAAAAAACACCATGTGCCCCAGAGGGGGGGATCAAGCATGCTTATTCTCTAGAGAGTTCAACACCGACAACAGCAACAACGACGACGAAGACGACGACGTCAACAACAGCAATAACAGCAGCAACAGCAACAACGCACGACGGCAAAACGTACACGGGGAATGGACGTCGGACCGATTGCAAGTTGCAGTGGTGGCTCTGGGCTTACGGCGTTGTATTGCCGTGAGCTCTTTGCAAACATTTACCATATTGTGACAAGTCTCCGGGATATAGAGAGCGAACGACTGAGAAAAAAATAAAAGCGAAGAGAGAGAGAGAGGGGGAGAACAAAAAAAAAAAAAGAGGCGGGTGGCCAAGCCGACGGGCGAGCCGCGGCGGCGGCGAGTGGCTCGCCCTTCCCCCATCCATCATTTCTTCCCCCGTTGTTGAATTGTTCCTCGGACTGCGCAGGCCGTGTCGAAGGCGGAGGCGCGCAGCAGGGACCTCCTGCAGGGCTGCTCCCAGGCCGGGAGCCAGCACCCCCGGCCCGCGAGGGGTGTGGCTGCCGCCCCCCCCCCCCCCCCGACTCACGCCTGGTGCACCTATCTGCGCCCTCCTCCTCCTCCTCCTCCTCCTCTCCTCCTCCTCCTCCTCCTCCCTCCTCCTCCCCCTTCCCCCATCCTACTCCTACTTCCCACTCCTACTCCTACTCCTCCCCTCTCCTCCTCCTCCTCCTCCTCCTCGTCCTCCTCCTCCTCCTCGCCTCCTCCTCCTCATCCTCATCCTCATCCCATCCTCATCCCTCTCTCCCTCCCTCCCTCCCTCCCCCTTCCTCCTCCTCCTCCTCCTCCTCCTCCTCCTCCTCCTCCTCCATTTGTTTTCCTTCTAAATATTTCCCCCCTGTCGCACCCCGAGGCCAGTTTTTAGGGCGTGCCGGGCGTTCTGCCGGAGATTTCCTCACCACTTACGACTCTGAAGCTTAGAAATAGCAACAGTTTCACAGACGGAGGGCGGGTGATTGTCAAGATGTGGCTCTCGCTTCAGCGTCGCGCACATTCGTTTTCAGACATTACAATAGTTTCACGGATTGAGGGCGGGCGGTTTTCAAAATGTGGCTCTCGCCTTAGCGCCATGCACATTCGTTCTTCAAATTCTTTACGCTTCGCGTATCCCCACCAGCCCATCTCAAAACAGCAACTCTTGCGAAGCATGCCGACAGTCGTGTTTTTCAGGCGTGTTTCCGCCTGCCCCCGCATATCTCCCCTGTTCCTCCTTCCTCCCGCCTCCTTGTACATCCTCCTTGTGGTGGGAGCGGGAGAAGGACGAGGCGGAGGAGGAGGGAGAGAAAGCGCTCCTCGTGGTTTGAGTCGTTTGGGGTTTCTCGTCCTGGTGTGAGTCGTTCGGGCCCTTCTTCCTGGTGTGAGTCGTTCGGGCTCTTCGTGGTGTGAGTCGTTCGGGCTCTTCGTCCTGGTGTGAGTCGTTCGGGCTTCTCGTGGTGTGAGTTGTTCGGGCCCCTCGTCCTGGTGTGAGTCGTTCGGGCCCCTCCTCCTGGTGTGACTCGTTCGGGCTCCTCGTGGTGTGAGTCGTTCGGGGCCCGCGTCGTGGTGTGAGTCGTTCGGGCTCCCTCCGTTCTGGTGTGAGTCGTTCGGGCTCTTCGTGGTGTGAGTCGTTCGGGCCCCTCGTCCTGGTGTGAGTCGTTCGGGCTCCTCGTGGCGTGAGGCGTTCGGGCACCTCGTCCCCTTTTGGGGCGTCTTGGGGGCCTCTTGGCGGCCCCAGGGGCTTCTAGGAGCGTCTTGGGTGCCTTGGGGGAGCCTCTTCGGGCCTCTTGGGAGCCTCTTGGAGGCCGTTTGGGGCGTCTTGGGGGCCTCTTGGCGGCCCCAGGGGCTTCCAGGAGCGTCTTGGGTGCCTCGGGGGAGCCTCTTGGGGCCTCTTGGGGGCCTCTTGGGGGCATCTTGGGGGCCTCTTGGAGGCCTCTTGGGGGCCTCCTGGGGGCCTCTTGGGGCCATCTTGGGGCCTCTTGGTGCCTCCTGGGCGCTTCTTGGGGCCATCTTGGAGGGAATCGATCAAAGAAGAGGGGAGCTTTAATTAGCGCTGCCCCCTCAGAAGGGCAAAATGGGGCCAAAACCTTCGTAAAATCAATGATTCTGCCTTGAAAGAAAAGGGGAGCTTTAATCAGCGCTGCCCCCTCAGAAGGCCAAAATGGGGCCAAAACCGTAGTAAAATCAATGATTCTGGCTTCAAAGAAGAGGAGAGGGTTTTTTCTGTCTCCCCCCGTCGGGGCCAGAATCCTCGTGAGGGGTGTCGTTTTTTTAGCCCTCCCAGGAGTCGAAAATGACCCCTCCAACGACCCGCGAGGCGCCCTCTCCAGGCCCAGGGGGAGGGGGTAGGGGGAGGGGTAAACCCCTCCCCGAAGGGGAAGAAGGGGGGTTGAGAACAGAGAGAGCTCCCTAAACCACTCACGCCCAAAGGGCTGGTGGGATTTCCAAGAGCTTCACGGATGGAGGGCGGGTGGTTTTCAAAATGGAGTTATCGCCTTAGCGCCGCGCACATTTGTTTTAAAAAAGTTGCAGGAGCTTCACGGATTGAGGGCGGCTGGTTTTCGAAATGTAGTTCTCGCCTTAGCGCCGCGCGCATTTGTTTTTTATAACTTGCAAGAGCTTCCCGGATTGAGGGCTGCTCCTTTTCAATATGCGGCTCTCGCCTTAGCGCCGCGCACACTCGCTTTAAAATTTGCAAGAGTTTCACGGATTCCCGTGATCAACGTACCAGACATCGTGTTTGGGAAGGATTCCAGATTCTGCGGGTGCAACAGTTATGTTGCTTCGCAGTGTTGAAGTCGCAAAATGGCGTTCTGGCACGATTCCAGATCGTCAGGACGCAACAGTCAGCTTGATCCGTGGCGTGGAAATCTCGAGAACAATGTTTTGGCATGCTTCAAGGTCTTCAAACAGTTGTCTTCCAACGAACTTTCAATGGAAATGAACCGTTGTAAGGGCCTATGATGAGGGAGCTTGGAGGGAGGATTAATTCCAACATCGTTCCTGCTTCTGCTCCTCCTCCTCCTCCTCCTCCAGGCGCTGTGCTTCCCTTGTCCAGCACTGCCCCTCTTGAAGCATGAAGCTTGCACGCGCTCTCACGAGCAAAAGGGGATAAGATGCTGATCCAGCGCCCCCCCGTCTGATTAAGTGCTCGCACTCGCGGTTATGTGACGTCCGCACCAGATACCAGCTCGAACCCTCACCCTGCACAACATCCCCGAGTGGCGAAGCGTGAAACCCCACCATGGGACCACGAGGCGCGAGAGATCACGAGAGCGGCGGCCGAGGCAAACGAATCATGGAAGGCGCATGCCCATCCATCAGACTATCCGGAAATGACTCCTAGGCGAATTGCTGCGAGAAGAGTGGACCGAAGAGGAAAAGACGCCATAAGCGTAAACTTTTGGCGCTCCGCGCGGGCTTCTTGGATCCGTGATGGGCCCCCTCCGTCGGCGCCTCCGGCGCTCCGCGCGCCAAGAAGAGGGCCCCGCGCAGATCCAGGAAATCCGCGCGGAGCGAGAAGAGCAGATGTGGAACGAGGAGAGGGGCATCAGTCAAACCGAAGAAAGGCACGCGCCGGAGCCAAGGCGGCTTCCCAGAATGGCCAACCTGGGGGTTCTGGGAGCTTCTTGGAGATCCCTTGGAGCAACATTCGGTCCCAAATGTTGCTCCGCCTCGGCTTCGCTGGTGCACCGACGATGCATCGGCGATGCGGTGCGATCCTTCTGTCCATAGTACTCTTGGCATGAGGGAAAAGGTCTTCGTGGAAACCGAAGAATTCAAATCCAGCGAAAAACTCCACGACTCCATTTCCTCCAAGACCGCTCTCCTTCGTGGCAACCATGAAAGGTCGGCACCTGGACACATCACGGTGCGCGTTTTGCAATCCCACAGAGAATCCAGCCGTGGCGACGAGGAGCCCCGCGGAGGCCCGCGAGGACCAAAAAGAGAAGCCCAAAGCTCCACCCACGACTTCGATTTATCGTGGCAATCGACGCCCAAAGCTCGTAC